AATAAATTAATTGGGACATGGCCATTACACCCATTAAGAGACATTCAACACAAGTAACTCTCAGCAACAGGTCTAGCAAAGACAATCAGGTACAAACTGATACCTACAACATGGTGTCATCTATTTATTTATTTACACTGTGTGTGTGTGTGTGTGCGCGCGCGCGTGCGCGCGCGCGCGCACGCGCGCGCGCAGTACCAGGAATCCAACTCAGGACTCTGTGCTTACCAGGCAGACACTTATGCCACTGAGCTATACTCCTGGCCCCTAACATGGTGTCATTTAAATGAAATGGAAAGCAACAATCCTGTAGACTGCTTCAGGACACAAACATGCCTCCTCTTGTAGCAACAGAACAATAATAAACATAGACACACTAAAAATGAGATGCAAAAGTTCCTCATGCCACTTTCTTGATGGGCTAGATATAGAGGTTTATCAGGGCTGAGAAGAAAAAGAGGGACACTGCTCCCATGCCCACCCAGCAGACACACCTGCATCCCACTGGCCCTGCTGAGAATCGGAAGAAGTGCTCGAAGAAGTGCTGGACTGCCGACGGCGCCGGCAACTGCCCTCTGTCCTTTTAGAAGAAGAACTGGAGGTGCCATAGTTGTAGCGCTCAGGGGACACTGGCAGAAGAGAACAGAGAGAAACATTAACAGCCTCCTTCCAATTCCAGGTGCAGTGTTCAACTCTACCCTTGGAAGAATGCCTGGACCACACGGTGCCTAAATCCCCCAGAGGTCACACTCAGAGTCTATCTGCTCAGAGGGTGCGCAGATGCTTCCCTAGACAGAAAACTCATCTCATTCTAGGGCCACTCAGTCCATGTCCACAGCAGCTCAACAATCAAGTTATTCTGTAAGAAATCATGGTCAGGACCTCTGCACTGGCCCCTTGCCCCTAGTTCACCTTGAGGCCCCTAAGAAGTAAGTAGGTCTCTGTAGACTCCCCAGTTTTTTCTTCTAGAATTTGACTCTCAGGTGTATTTTTCCTCAAATGTCATTATCTCTTCTAGGGGTATGTAGTTATCCAAATCTCATGGCTTTACTCTGGGCTATGAAAACCTCAACCCCCACCTCTCCAACCTAATTACCCTGCCTCCAGTAACCTAACCAAGAGTCTGACAACCTATGAAGACACAGGTCTTCTGGCAGTCTGAAGCCCTCCCAGCTCCTCACCTGTCTCACTGCTGTCTTTCCTCTCAAGCCAAGGGCCTCAATGCTGGGGACAGGCCAGCTAGATTTGAATCCTGGCTCCCACACTTTCTATCTATGCTACCTGCAAGCCCCTTGGTGATGTTATCCCCTTGCCTATCTCTCCACCCTTGCTTAGGTGCCCTTCTATCATGCCACATTTGCTTCTTATGATATCAAGTTCATTCCCACCTCAAGGCTTGGATGCTTGCCTTTCCCTCTTCCTGGGAAACTTCTCAGAGATCTGTGCATGGCTGGCAGTACAGCTTCACTTCAAATGTCATCTCAAAAAGGTCTTCACTGGTTACCTAGGCTAGGGCAGCCCCCTTCACTTCAGGTACTTCCCACTCTCTCTATCCATTGTTACCTTTAGTCTTTTTGTAACCATAAATTTCTGCAATGAATAATTACGACTTAGTTGTCTTTATATTCTGATACATCAGCTAAAAGTAAGCCCCATGATCTTATATCCTCTATGCTCAGTATGCAAGAGTCTAGTCTTATATGTGGCAAGCTGCTTAACTTTTTGAACCTGTTGTTTTCCTTGTACAATAAAGACAACAACAGTATTTTCCCATGGGACTATTCGAAGGATACAAGATGACAGTTCATGTGAAGGACTTACAGCTGTGCCTGGCATGAACAAGCCTTCCATAAACAGTGGTCGTCATTATCATTGATGTGGTCAAATTCCACAAGCTCATGCTCCTCCTTAAACCTAACTTCCTCCCTCTTTTGTTTCTAATTAATACTGTGTGACAGGGGAATGGAATGAGACATTATCAGGGCACCACAGGGGCCCAGCAGGACTAGACCTTCTCCCCACAGGAAGTTTGGCACACTCGCATTCAACCTTACCAGGCCGGCGCCGTTTGCGCGCCAGGTGCGGCAGCAGGTCGTGTCGGGCCAGCACCCGCAGGAGTTGGCCCAGCAGCCGAAGGTTGCTCTCGTCGCACTGCCCGCGGCGCTCCAGCTCCAGTAACAGCTCCAGGCCGCTGCGGGCGCGGGCCAGGCCCCCAGCTGCGCCGGGAGCCTCGTCCAGTAGGAAGGCCAGAAGCTCCAGCTCGCACTCGGTCAGCTGCCCGCCCACCACCTCGAACATACGGTGAAGCGACAGCATGCCATAGTAGTCCAAGCACTCATCCTCCTCCCAGCTCAGGGCCGGGGTCGACCCAGACAGCGCCATTCCCGGGGGAGGGATGCGGAACAAGCTCAGAACCAGGCCCTAGAACCCACACGGCGAGGAGGAGGCAGCGGTCAGAGACGAAGCGGTCGGGACTCCACGGAGGCCAGAGCGTGTTCCCCCACCCCGGCCAGGTCGCGCAGCCCACCAACAACCCACAAGCGCCTCAGTCTCCCTCTCCCCCGGAAGGGAATGGTATGGCCCAAGGTCCCCTAGTAACAGGTCGGGACGCCAGACCCTACGGGGTCTCCAGTCCAGCCAGCTGAGCTCAAAGCCCCCTCCCCAGGTGGTACGTTCCAAACTAACCTCCCGGACGACCTAAGAGATTCAGGTTCAAACAAGGACTACGGCCCATTCCAAGGCACTTCGACCAGGGCACACTGTACCTTTGGGTAGTAAATGTCCGGATGTGGCCCTTGCCACAGTTCACCAGTATTTTACATTCAGGCCCTCCGCTCCACTCAAGTGGTACCTTCCAAAAGTGACCCTCTACTCCCTATCACCGGACAGACCGAGGCAGCAGCCCTTTTCTCTACACAGGTGGTACTGTCCGAACCCAACCCTCGCCCAATAAATGACGATTCCCAACTCTATCTCTCAAGCGCCCGAGTGGTTTCGTCTGCCCGCCACCGGTAGCCCTTAGGCCTCCTGGGATCCTTACCGAATTCCGGCGTCGGATGACTCCTGGGCGACAGCCGCAGCCACTTGTTTTGGATCTTTCTGGCACCTTCTCTATTATTACGCCTGCGTCACCTCGCTCCTCCTTCTTCCCCCAACTCGCGCAGGTGCGACTGCCACGCCCCTTACGCGCAAGCGCAGAACGAGACCCGCAAGCCCCGCCCACTGGGGCTCCGGGCCCGCCCCCCAACCGAAGCTTCCTGGCTGCTCTGTGCGGCACTTGCGCAATGCGAGAACCTGCGGGATCTGGCTCTTACACTATCTCTACTTCTCCCGCAGATGGCTCGGAACACCCGGTCCCGGGTTGCCTCATATCACGACCTGTGGAAATACTCATAAACGACAGCCCCCTCCTGATTACGACCAAGACACCCACATTATCACTGTCCTAGCTTCCTGTGGCAAAGGTCTACAATTAAGACTGCATCGGCCTCCAGGAACGTCTAGGCCACTTTAGAATCAGTACCTGGATCTTCCTGCAGTACTGTTCCCCATTCCTAATGGCAACCAGAAACCTACATCTCAACTATACTGCCTCTTGTTTCAGTTTGGAAACATACCTTTATCCCGAAAAGCACACATCCAACCCACGCCCCCTCTATAAATTCCTTCTGATAGAGACCAGGATTCCTTTGGAACTGAGTAACTTCCTTCAAAATCACAAACGGCCCCGCCACCCCGATATGCACATTTCTCCCCAGTAGTAGCATCAGGGAGTCACTCAAATGCCCTCTCCCTAACCTGCACCAAGGAGAGCAGGTCTGTCCAGGCTGTGGTGTCTTCATCCCCAGCCGCAGGGCTTTGGGCGTGACAGTCCGTAGCCAGACACCCACTTAGGTGACTCAAGGTCATGGCTAGCACGTGCCTGGCACAAGTCTTGCCTCCTGGTTGGTTCCCACCCCCGAATTGTCTCCCCTGGGGAGACGGGAGTCCTACGTCCTGCTTGGCCTTGGCTCAGTACAGCCTCTGCTCGCTGCAGCAGTGGCTCGGAAGAAGCTCTTCCCTTCTCTGGGTCTTAGTTTCTCCATCTGTGAAATAGATGGATGGTAACGATCCCCTGTGAAAACATAGTCCCGAACTGAGTACACAGTGGGCGCCTTGGAAGTGACTATCATTAAATAAAGAGAGGAAAGGGGCAGCGATTTTACAAACTCGGAAGGACTGTGTCCATGTTGGAAGGGGTACCCACGTTGTATGTTTGAGGCCCCTCCTGGGGGCTTTTCCGGGTGGCATCGTTCAATCCCTTCAAGTTGGATATAAGTCAAAGCCCACTTTACAGATGAGCAAAACTTTTTTTTTTTTTTTTTAGGAACCAGGGATTGAACTCAGGCTCTTGTGCTTGCCAGGGAAGCGCTTATTCCACTAAGCCATCTCCCCGGCCCCAGATGAGCAAAACTTAAGGCCCACAGAGCATAAGTACTTCAAGTTTGGCTGGCTTCAAAACTGTGTGTTCAGGGGCTGGTGAGATGGCTCAGTGGTCTAAAGCACCTACTTAGAACAAGTTTAGCAAAGCACAGGGACCACGGTTCAATCCCCCAGCACCCCGCCCCCTGGTGAGCTGAGCTGGCCACACACACACACATAAATAAATAAAATTTAAAAAAAAAACTGTGTGTTCAGACACAGTCTCTTCAACTGTGAAATGACACCTGTCAAGAAAGACCTCCTGCAGGCCAGTTCCCTCTACGGGACCTCGCTGTCCGTGCCCACTTCTCTCTGTGCCCGCGCCAGAGAACTTTGTAACTCTCAGCAGGACAGGAGCGGCCCGGGAGCACTGCGCAGACGCTCCTCGGTGCCGGGACCCCGCCCACAGGGCACGGATGTGTGAGTGGAGAAAGTCGCGGGAGACCCGCCTAAGAGTCAACACGCAGGCGCAAGGGCGCGTGCCCTGCGCTGCTGGCTCTGATTGGTCGCCACGTGTAAGGGCGCCGCCCAATGGGAGGTGTGGATAGTGAGGGGTCTCGCACGCCGGGAGCTGAGGGTCTGTGTCAAGAGCTGCAGGACCTGTTAAGGCAAGAGAAATGGGTGAGGGCGCAGCGGGGCGGGCGGGCAACAGAGCGCTGGTCGTACGGTGAGGGTGGAGGGACAATGAAGAGGACCCCAGGGGTTGAAGAACCACGGGGCCTGTGCTGGGGCGGGAGCTGAGCCGGGTGGAGCAGAGCGCTCCTTCCTGTGTTGCCCTCCTGCGGTGTGCAGTACCCTAAGCTTGGCTCCCTCCCAACCCCTACAGGTCCTTCTCCGGGCGGGGCGCCGAAGAGACGAGTTCGGCAGAAAAGGGATGTGTAGCAGAAAAGTTGAACTTTCAGGCCCTGGTGGGTTCTTTCCTGGTAGGACTTCAGAACTATGTGACGACCCACCCCTTCACAATCCAAGATTAATTGTGTAAGCAAGGAAGGCACAAGTTTCAGGGCCACCTTCTAGGGAAAAAAACATTTGTTGGGTGACTACTTCATACAAGTCTCGTAGCATACTCTGGGCCTAACCCTAGGGAAGTTCTCTGTTCCAAGTGGGACTGCCAAACAAGGAAAAATGTCACTCTCCTCCCTGTTGGTTGTTTACAGGAAGATCCTTTGTAGAACGACTGTTGTGTTCGGATCCTAGAACTCAAAAATTAGTGAAGGATTTGGCCTGGGTTGATAAGCAAAGTGTAGGTCTGGGCATTTAGTGAACTGTTTATTCAGGAGTACTTGTTGTGCACCACCTGAAAACAGGGCCCTGTTCAGTAATGTTTATTGTGGGAATTCACAGTGAAATGGGAGAGTTGGCTTGAGACCCCTCACTCCCCTATAGACTTTGCCTACTGTGTGTTGGGCGTTGTTCTTAGCACTGGAAATACCCCAGTGATGAATAGGTTAAAACCCTCCCCTCAGGGAGCTTAATATGAACAAATTCTATCTGCAGGGATATAAGGTAAACTCCGTCTGCCATCTGGCACTAACAGATGAGGTGAAGAAGAGATAAAGAGATAAAGAAGAGATAAAGTGGTACTCAATCATCCCAAGTACCACACACTCACACAAAGAAAAGAAAGAGGAAAAAATTCTGAGCTGAGCATGGTGACACATGCGTGTAATCCCTGGGCCCAGGAGGCTGAGGCAGGAGGATCACTGTGAGTCTGAGGCCAACCTGGGCAACAAAGGGAGCTCAAGGCCAGCCTAAACTGCATAGTGAGACTGTCTCAAAAAAAAAAAAAAAAAAAAAATCTGAAGGAAAGGGTCATTTAGTGAATAGACTTAAGAGCCTCCATTGTGTAAGGGGGCCTGGGTTGTAGTGAGCCTACACAAGAAGAGAATATAGGGTACATGGGGGAAAATTTGAAAGTTACAGTACCTGACCCTGCTCTGTAGTTTTGTTGGTGATTGAAACCTCCACAATGAATCAGATCAACCCTGCCTACAAGCTCAGTCCTGTAAAGAACTCAAGAGAAACACTCCAGTCTCATATTTGTTATGCTAGAGGAAGCAGATGATATCATAAGAACCCCAAGGAGGCAGGAGTGACCTTACCCTGAGGATATGAAGAAGTTCCCAGAAGTTTTCTTTCTCCCCCCCCCCCCCACTGGGGATTGAACTCAGGATCCTGTGCTTGCCAGGCAAGTGCTTATTCTACTGAGCTATCTCCCTGGCCCCAGAAATTTTCTTAAAGGAGATGTGGGGTAGAAGTTTTCCAGACATGGAGTTTTCATAGCAGAGAAAATAGCATTAAAGACTTAAAAGAGCAAAACAACCTTTTTAGGAAACTTCAAGTGAAATTTATAGCTAGCCTTTATGAAGTCAGTGACATTGTGGTAAGTACTACTTTAACTCCATTTTACAGGAGAGAAAACACAGAGGGAAAACGGTATATATATATATATATATGCAGTGCAGCTCAGAATCAAGCTGAGGGAAATCTGGCCTCAGGGTCTGTGCTAGTAAATGTTTTGCAGCATCTCTGCATATGTAAAGGAAGGAAGATGTTGCAAAATGGGGAAACTGCACAGACAAAGGCTAGGAGGCAGGAAAAGATACGGTATGTTTACAGAAAGTGTGTGACTGGGACTCAGGGACAGGGTAGCATACCAGGCCAGACTGAGGAGTGTTCTCTCTTCTGCAGATGTCTGGCTGGTGTGGGCGGCAGTAAGCTTCAGAAGCACAGGATCATTGAAGTCTGAGACCTAAATATTGGATTAAGATTTGTCAATTGATAAGAGGCTGGTGAGTAATGGGATGAGCAAGGGAAATCCTAACACACCTCTCTCCTGAGTTCCTGGTATGTCACTGGCTCCTGCCCCTCCTTCTCCAGGCACTGGCTTTCCCACAATGGCAGAGGTTGTGGCTGAGGTGGCTGAGCTGCCAGCACAGTCACCAGGGACAGTGGAGATGCCTATATCCATGTCATCCATGTCGGGGGAGATGGCAGAGATAGCAACAGAAGTGATGGAAATGACACCCGGGGAGGCCCTTGCCTCATCCCTCTTCTTCCAGCACCACCAGTTCATGTGTTCTGAGTGTGGCAGCCTGTATAACACACTAGAGGAAGTTCTCTCACACCAAGAACAGCATGTGCCCACTGTGCCAGAGGAGGAGGCACTGACCACGCAGGATGCCGGCCTGCAACCAGAGCTAGTGGCAGACGCTGAGGAGGGGCCTTTCCAGTGTGGTGAATGCAGCCAACTCATCCTCTCTCCCAGTGAGCTCCTGGCCCACCAGGATGCTCACCTCCGGGAGTCTGCAAGCCAGATTCAGTACCAGTGTGGGGATTGTGAGGAGCTCTTCCCCTCCCCCGAGCTGTGGGTGGCTCATCGCAAGGCTCAGCACCTTTCTGCTACAGTAGCCGAGTCATCAGCACCACCTCCGTTGCCTCCCTCCACTCCACCCCCTCCACCTCCTGAAGTCAAGATGGAGCCCTATGAATGTCCTGAGTGTGCCACCCTCTGTGCCACCCCAGAGGAATTCTTGGAACATCAGGGCACTCACTTTGACTCCCTGGAGAAAGAAGAACATAATGGGTTAGAGGAGAAGGAGGAAGATGATGAAGAGGATGAGGAAGAGGAGGAAGAGGAAGAGGAGGAGGAGGGAGCTCTGGACTTCGCTGATGACACTATGAGAGGTAACATGTCCACAGCTGATAGAGCCCAGGGCCACGATGATTGTTCCCAGCACTGTACCTCTGTAGGGGCTCGCCAGAGACACCGAAGAGCCTCTCGAGGATCAGCATCAGCTTCCCACCCCTTCCACTGCACTCAGTGTCAGCGCAGCTTCAGCTCAGCAAACCGGCTGCTGGCTCATGGGCGGGCCCATGTGGGTGGCACACACGAATGTACAGCTTGCTCCAAGGTCTTCAAGAAGGCAGCCTCTCTTGAACAGCACCTGCGGCTGCACCGAGGAGAAGCTCGCTACCTCTGCGTGGACTGTGGACGGGGCTTTGGCACAGAACTCACATTGGTGGCGCACCGTCGGGCTCACACTGCCAACCCACTGCATCGCTGTCGCTGTGGCAAGACATTCAGCAATATGACCAAATTCCTGTACCATCGGCGCACGCATGCTGGGAAAAGCGGGTCTCCAGCTACAGCAACAACAGCCTCCCCAGCTCCAACAGAGCCAGAGCCCCCAACCCCGCCCCCTCCCCCACCTGCCCAGCTGCCCTGCCCACAGTGCCCCAAGTCTTTTGCCTCAGCCTCTCGGCTTTCCCGACACCGGCGTGCAGTACATGGGCCCCCTGAACGGCGGCACCGTTGTGGGGTTTGTGGCAAGGGCTTCAAGAAGCTGGTCCATGTACGCAACCACTTGCGGACACACACAGGTGAGAGACCTTTCCAGTGCCATTCTTGTGGCAAGACATTTGCTTCTTTAGCCAACCTCAGCCGCCACCAGCTGACCCACACAGGTGTGCGTCCCTATCAGTGCCTGGATTGTGGCAAGCGCTTTACACAGAGCTCCAACTTGCAGCAGCACCGGCGGCTGCACCTGCGGCCAGTCGCCTTCGCCCGTGCACCCCGGCTCCCCATCACCGGTCTCTACAACAAGAGCCCCTACTATTGCGGGACCTGTGGCCGCTGGTTCCGGGCCATGGCAGGCCTTCGGCTGCATCAGCGGGTCCATGCCCGAGCCCGGTCTCTGACACTACAGCCTCCTAGATCACCTTCTCCCGCCCCACCCCCAGCCCCTGAGCCACAGCAGACTATCATGTGCACAGAGCTCGGGGAGACCATTGCCATCATTGAGACTTCCCAGCCACTGGCACTTGAGGACACACTGCAGCTGTGTCAGGCTGCACTAGGGGCCAGTGAAGCAAGTGGGCTGTTGCAGTTAGACACAGCCTTCGTGTGACAACAACAATAAAAGGGTTTAGTTGCAACAGTGAGTATGAGCACCTCTGGGGAGAAAAAGAGGACTACCCTTTTGACAAGCCAATCTGGCATTTACCATGAGATTCTTGTACCCAGTGATTCCTCAAAACAGCCTTGCCAGGTTTCCTGTATCACCTTTCTCTTCCTGAGGAGAAACTGAAGCTTGTAAAATCCCATGTGATCTGTCCCAGGTCACCCTTCTGTATTGCAAAATGGGACTGCCAAAGCTCTTGGCATCACCCTTGCCCTCAGCAAAATCAGGTAAACTGAACATGGACCATGTTCCAAGTCTGTGCTGGACATTGCATATACCTCTCAGCATTCTCTGCTTGTCCCCCCACCCTATCCTTTCTTGGATTTTAGGTACCTAGGCCCTGTTTCTGCCTGGTAGAGAAAGGCACTTATCTTGGCCTCATCTCAGTTTTGACAATGTGGAAGAAAATCTATAGGTACTTAGACTGGGTGATGGCAAAGATCCAGGAATGAGCCAGACACAGGCTGTGCCCTCGGGAAGCGTGCTAGCAGGAGTGCGTACACGTACAGGCGGTTTGTTCTCCAGGTGTGGCTCTTTGGTTCATTCAGCCTGTGTCCAAAGGTCTCTAAGTACTGGGCAGTGCTGGAGACCAGAACTGAGTCAGGTCTAAGCACTACTTGGGTTATGAAGGGGATGTACAGGGACACTGGGGTCCCAGGGTAGGGAACAAACCTGCACAGGAGAACAGGTATGAAAAGGCTTTCAAAAAGAAAAGGTAGTGTCTGAAAAAAAAGTAGGAATCTTCTAAAAAAAGAAACCAAAAACCATTTCAGGCAGGCAGCACTACAGGAGGATAGTGAGTTCTAATGTATTTGGACCCATCTTGAAACTACAGTAACTGAACATTTGACCACATGGCCATGGCAGGCACTGCCCTTAGCACTATATGTATGCCATGATCCCAAGGATCATGAAGTAGATCTGTCTCATCCCTCTTGTATGGATTAAAAAAAAACTAAAGACAGCAACTTGCACAGGCATTGGAAGATGTGAAACCAGACTGTTCTAAGCCCGTTTATAACTACTATTATACTAAATGATTGAGACCTAAAACCCCATGTAAAAAGCTGGAATCTGGACTCATTGTAATTGGAAGAAAAGTAAACCAGGGTCACAGAGCAGTTAGGATTTGAGGGGGACTTAAAAGATCAAAGGTCTTAGCAGGAAGGGATCCCCATTTTTTCCCAAGGATGTCTGGGATATGTCTTTCCCTCTCTAAGCCAGTGCAGTCAGTGGGGCAGACTCCCCAAGATCTCTGTGCAGTAGGTGCTCAGGCAGATGAATCAGAATGCTACTGGGGCTGGCAGTTGCCCAGGAGGGAAGCCTCGGTATGGGGAGTTGGGCTGAGTAGTTCTCGGCAATGTTGCAGGGTAGGGAGGTGTCACAACGGTGTCAGATCTTCCTGGGATCACAGTGGTATGGGTGGAGGGTTGGCAGAGTTCTAAGAGGGAGACAACAGGGATAGAGCTGGGCAGGAGCTGTGGGGGTAGAGGTGAAGGATGTCCCCTCCCCCCCAATATAGTCAACCACTGAGGAGGAAGGGTCCCCAGGAACCCACGGCTTGCCCCTTGCCCAAGCCGCCTATCTTCCCCTTAAATAATCGATGTACTCCACATCCACTTTACAATCAAGGTGAAATTCAGGCCAGTATTGAGCAAGAAGGGGATAGTCTGTTCTGGGCAGTATATAGTTGTCCCTAGGCAGTTGGGGGCCCAGAACCCACAAGAGCAGTCCTGGCACTCCTGTGACCTATCTCAGCTGGAATCCAGCAGAGGATGTGCAGTTGCTCCTCCCAGTGCTCCCTTTCCCTTCCCTTCTGCAGCCTTCTGCCCATGCTTATTGCTTGGCACCATGTGGAAGAGGTACCATTGCCTTCTGCTCATAGCTCCTACCATCTGGTCCTAGCATTTTTAAGTGAGGGGGGAAAGCCAAACTCTGCCTAGCTTTCGCAGAGTTGTCAGCGCCCAACACCCCTAAGAGCCAGAGCAAACGGCTGTCCTGCTTAACACTCTGAAATGAAGCCCTGAGAATCTTCTAGGGTCCTAGCCCTATCCAGTGTCTCTGTAGGCCAACATTATAGGCAGGTAAGTTTTAAATTTTTGCCCATGTAGCTCCTTATTATTCAGTGCCTCCCTGGTCCCATAGCAGGCAGTAGCTTGGACTGAGACAGCCATTTGTTCAAGTCCTTCCCCCACCTCCCAACCGGGAATTGAACTCAGGCCCTTGCGCTTATTCTACTGAGCCATCTCCCTGGCCCCCTTTTGTTCAAGTCTTAACTCTGCAGCTTAAGTTCTGTGGCCTTCACTCCTTCAAGAAATGTCCAGTTGTCATGGATCACTGAGGATCTGAATCCCTCCCTCCCTGAGCAGATGATTTGTACTGGGTCATAGGACAGGCTCCTCCCAGACCTCTATAGCAGAAAAGCTAGTAACTCCACATGCAGAGGGGTATGTGGAAGGGTTGGGCACCTGAATCACGACCAAAACTCAGGCTCCCCAGTATTGCCCTGCCTAAGATCCAGCCCATTCCTGACCCTAAAGAGATCTCCAGACACCCCCTCACCTTGGTGGAAACAGGTAGCCAGACAGGAAGCAGGTTTTCATGCCAATAATTTATTGAACGGAGGTCTGTACACAGGCAAACCTTACTGTGGAAACTTAAGACATCAGGAGTTCTCCCCATGTCCCAGGCCCTCCAGGGTAGGGAGCAGAGAAGGCCTTGGGAGCTGAGGACAGGAGTGGAGATACAGCTGTAGGAGTGGGCAGGGCCAGGTTGGATGGTGTGAATGAACGTTTTCTTTAAGAAAAAAATTATAACAATCTATTTACACCTGGGGACCAGGGAAGGGAAAAGATGGAGCGGGCTGATTCTATTTACAAGGGTCAAAGGAGGGGAGAGGGGGTTTGGAGGAAATGGAGGCTGGGGAATACAAGGGGGCAAAAGGGGTAGGAGTTCCTCATGCCCCCAACCCCATCCTTCCTTCCCTATCTTCCCTCCCCACAACCAGTTAAAATCCTCTTAAAAAGCCCATCATAGGAGTCAGGCTGGTAACGGAGGGACTAGAGGTGGGGTAGGGACTCATTTACCTCTGCCCTCTAGTCTAGGGCCCAGCCAGGATAAAAGTCTGATGGGCTACACCTCCCCCTTCCCATCCCCACTTAGGGCTCCCAGATAGATGTGGGAGAGTAGTTGGCGGGGTCCTCAGGAAGAGTTAGTGAGAGTAGGTGTGGCATCAGGCGTCTGCCAGTCTGAGCTGGTCTGAGTCTCAGTTAAAGCTGAAGGGGAGGAAAGCAGACAGTTAGCCTTTCAGATCCCTCTGCACCCAATGCAGAGTGTTAAGATTAAAAGTTAAAAGGTATTAGGGCCGGGGAGATGGCTCAGTGGAATAAGCGCTTCCCTGGCAAGCGCAAGGGTCTGAGTTCAATCCCGGGTTCCGCAAAAAAAAAAAAAAAAGTTAAAAGGTACCACTTTTAGGTCCAGGGTTGCAAACTCAAATGCCCAACGGCCAGCTTGACAATTAAGTGCCTCACGCCAGGGAACCAGGCTCCATATGAGAGGAAGTAGCTGCAGCGAGCCCACTGCCAACTGCAGTCAGGAAGAGGCAGGCCCACTGCTGCTCAGTCTGACTTTCTTCACCAAAAGCAAACAAAATCTGGGATTTTACCCAAAGTGGTCCAATTTTAAATATGGCCAGCAAGTTCAACTTTTTGTTCACACCAAACACATTTCTTTGGTTTTTCCAGTTAGCATTTAAACACAAATGTTGACAACGATGTAAGGTAGACACTAACATGCTATAAAGTATATTTTAGTTCAGAAGTGCTCTTCAACCCTGAGCAGATGGCCCTACAACTTACCTTGCGAGGACGGAGTGAGTGGAGTAGTGCCCGCTGGGGACCTCAAGTGAGGAGGGATGAGAATGGCGTTGAGAGACGGCTGAATGGAGAGTTCTAGAGATAAGAATGGACACGCCCACAGTCAGGGAGGAGTTAGGGCATCTGGAAATTCAGTGAGGATGAGGGCCAGTGCCAGGCAAGGACCCAACTATGGCCAAGGGCAGGTTACAGACACTTTTAGCCACGGAAGTCTTTGAGACCAAAGAGAACCTAGCACAAAGTTGCAAAGCACTGCTGAGGCAGCTATGGTTCTGCTGAATGTGGGGAACAGCTTCCTGAGCCCTCCACCTGTTTTATACCGAGCTTGGCTCCCCACTTCTATCGCTCTCACCACCAGGACTGAAGTTGAAGAGCGGAGGAAGCGGGCGGTTGTTGGGGAGCTGGGTTCCAAGACATCGGAGTTCATCAAAGAAGCTGTGGGCACAGGCCTCTAGTGGAGAGAGTCTGGAGGACGGAGTGTACTCTAGCAGGCTGGAACAGAGTGCGATGGCCTCAGGTGGCGTACGAGATTTGAACACCTGGAGAGAGGAGTGCAGGGTCACAGAGTAAGAGATGTCCTAGGCCCCAGTGTCAGTCCTGTGACTCACTGCAGTGGCAGATACAACTGCCTGCCTCTCACGAACCCATCTTCCAAATAAGGAAACAGAGGCACAACCACTGAGAGGAAGTCAATTTGTATCTGGCAGCCAGCCAGCCCAGGTCCTATGATTATATGAGCTTTGCTACGCATTTCAGCATCTCTGCCACAGAAATGGAATCCTGATTACCTGTAGATCGTCAATTTTTTAGATTCCATAAAGCTTTTTATGGTGGTTTTTTTTTTTTTTTTTTTTGAAACAGGGACTCTATGTTGCCCAGGCCAGCCTTGAACTCATGAAAGTCCTCCTGCCTCAGCCTCCCAAATCCTGGAATTACCGGCCATGCACCGCTAGATTCCATGAATTTAAATACGTGTTACTGACTTGCTCTTTCGTTAACTTTAAACCCTCCCAAGCCATGATTCTGAAGCCAAGTATCAGCCCAGTTGGCCTTCAACAGACCCACCCTTTATCCCTAACCTACCTTCGTCCAGGGGTGAGCTTTAATCTGGGGGAACTTGAACTCTGTATAGTTGGGGTTCATCTCTCGGATTTGTTCCCGGGTTGGTGTTCCCAGTACCTGTGTAGTGAGGGAGGGGTCTGAAACAAGGCCCCCCTCTCCCTCACCCCATCCCTACCCTCCCTGACCTTAATCTCACCTTGATGATCTCCACCAGCTGGTCTACCCCACTGTCCCCAGGGAAGATGGGCTGGCCAAGGAGGAGCTCGGCCAGGACACAGCCAGCTGACCAAACATCTGAAGGAGAATGAAAGAGAGATGTTCAGGACTACACAGGCCAGGCCACCAAGCCCATCCCTCTGCAAACATTTCTGTTTATTTCTCATGGCCATCCTCAAGTGGCAAGTACCCCATTTTCTCAGGTCAGAAAGGAATCA